AGGTTTATATCAGAGACAGAGAGAGAAACTTAATTTGAAGGGGTATTTTGTGTTTGCAAGCTTTGGATGCTTTCAATATATGGACCCCTTATGTAAAATGTCAACCTTGTGAAATATGAAAGTCAATTACTTTTCTTATCCATCATCTCTCTCTTTTTTTCTCTCTCTCACTCTATTGGATTCTTGTGAGTGAAGAGATAGATGTGGGAGACACTCTCAATTGTCGCCAAAAGGGTGTGCCATGGTTGGTGCTGGTCGACCTCTTAACCACAAAAGTGAAACTTAGGGTTTAGCTTCTTGCCTTTTTAAATTTAAATTGTTTCAAATAGGTCATAGTTGGTAGAATGTTAGCATTCTACTTAAATTTAATGTTGGTCGACCTTAATCACAAAAGTGTGTTTTAGCACTAGCAGAAAAATCTCATCTATTACAGTCGATATCCGTGGTAGATTGCAATCCACCACGGACATTGTGCCCGTTAGTAATATGGATGTGATAGAAAGTCATAGATTCTATCACGGGTCATGCCCGTTGTCAATTGTAATATAACAACGGATTGTGCCCGTTGTAGATTAACATCTAACACCACGTGCACTATAACCCTTGTGGATTACAAATTGATCACGGCTAATGCCCGTTATAAAAAAAATTCCAAAAATAATAAAATATTGTTTAATAAATGTATTATATAATATTTATAAACAAAATTACACATTTACTACAATATAACAATAAAAAAAATCATAGATTCAAATTGGCCTGCATTGATAATGGCTTTGACAATGTGATAATTGAATCTGATGCTTTGGTTATCATCCAAATGCTAAACAAGGAATCTACACATGACTACAGTATTGAATGCATCCTTGGTGACATCGAGCTTCTAGTACAGAGGTTAACATATGTGACGTTTTCGTTTGTGCCTAGGGAGAGCAACCGTGCGGATCACTCGGTGGCGAAGTTTGCTTTTCAGAAAGGTGGTGATTTTGTATGGGATTGTATTGGGCCAGAGTTTTTGTTTAATGTTCTAGCCCACGATGTAAACATTCCTATTCGTCTCTAATTTATCCTATCTTCGGTTTAAAAAATAAAAAAATATTACAGTTGTACACTAAACTAAAGCTAACAAAAAAACGATGAAATATACAAAGAAATACCAAACCATCCAAAGACCTCCAACAAACAAGGACATTGTTACTTTGAAGACTTCACATTTCTTTGAACACCTTCAAACAAAGGACCTTGAGACAATGTTAGGAAGATAAACCATGTTATATAAATTATCAGCAATGACAAATAAAAAATGTCAAAGTAAGAGTTAATACAATCAAATTTGCTACTCATTTGGCCAGAAAGAAGTTGGAACAAAATAGAATGCTAAGCCAAAATTACAGATATTCAAGGTCCTTTCAAATGTTCCAGTCATTAACTCTTTTATAGATTAATTTCTCCTAAGCAGTCATTGACTCTCTTTCTCTATCTCGTGCCTTTTTCACTCTATACAACCCTTGTCTCATGGTCAACCTCTCCATCCCCTCACAGTCGCACGATACAACATAACCTGCTCCGCCTCGGCTAGCCTCCCTTAGCACAAACCCCACAAGCACAAAATAACTAATACCAATTTAATTGAAGCAATTAAGAAATGACCGATGAAACTTCATCATAAAGTATTCAATGAAAGGTGAAAAAGGCACCAATTTTAATAGGAGGAAAATATATCAGAAAGTGTAAGTGTGAGAGGGAGAAAAGAAAGAGAGTAATATACCTCTGAAAATGGTGACAGAAGACCCATGCAAGACGCTGCCTCGTCTTCACCATCCTTTGAGATTTTGTTGTGATTCACTTGTATCCATGGCATGGAATGAAAAACCGCGCGCTAATTTTTCAATTATGTAAGATGAGGGTGGCTGGTAGTTTTACAGTTACCTGCAGAACGTGGAGTACGAGTGGTTTCTTTTCCTCTACAGTGATAGGGATGTAGTTTTGAAAGTTTAAATTGCTTTAAGATAGATCATAATTATTGGAATATGAGCATCCAACTCATATTCAATCTTCAACGAATAAAGAAGTTCAATATATATTGAGTACTTTATGCGACCCTGACGTGATGAGACTCAAAACCCTAGTACTATTTTTCTCATGCCCGATTGGCAATTATAGTCTTATATACAACCATGAGCATGGATAATTAATTAAGTTAGGTTTCAGTCTCGAGGTTGTTTGCGAAACGTTCGAATTCGCACATAGTACCAGGTGTGTCCGTGTTTGATTCAGTGATATCTTTGTATTTTGAATTTAATTTTTCTGCAAAGGAGGATAAGAACGAGGAGTTTTTAGTTCACCTGCAAAATTTGAGATTTCGGCGAGAGAGAAAGAGGAATTTCAGAAGATTGAGACTAGTTTGACCATGAATGTTATGTCATTAAATGTTGCTTCATGAGATTTGTCCACGTTATTTGAATAAAATCTGACCTAGATTGTCATGTAGGTACTTAACAATTCTCTTAATTTAGGACCTAACATAAGTGATATATATTTTTTATACACTGGATGCTCTTTTAGAATGTTTGAAAATGTTGAGACACATTTAGAATCACACCAAAAACTTAGAGGAATTTTAAGTACTTAATTCTAGATATAATGCTATCATGAAATTCTTTAAGTAGAATTATCTTGTGCACCTATACATTTACCCTGATTACACCCATCCCGTGAGTTTCTACCCTTCGTTTGACATGCATGTCTCGCTCATTCGACAAATACGGCCTACTACAAATGTCCAAAACTTGTTTACTTTACAAGTTATCCAGATTTTTGGCTCGCATCACAACTTACCCACATTAAAGGTGGTACTTGGCTCCACAAAAATTGTACAATTCCTACACAAAAATATAAAATATAATGGACGATTCATGAGTTTTTTTTTTAATTATAATTGGAACTATTTATATATATATATATTAAAAAATATTATAAAGATTATTTATGTAAAAAATGATTAAGGATTATGGTCATCTAGTCAATCAACTTAGCAAATGAATAGACAATTTGTAATATTTTTATAATTTTATCAATCCTGATGACCGTACGTTTTTATACATTTTGATGACAACTGTTAAATATTTTATTGATTTTTGCAGAAATGATCTTTACATAGTGAATTATAATATAAATATTCCAGTTATAAATAGAAAGGTATGTGAATCGACAACAAACTGTTTTTGTATAGGAACTCCTCGACACTTATGCATAACCAAGAATCTCCCTTGATATATTGTCAAATCACTTTGAATCTTTCCATTTCTTCAAAATTGACTTATTTTTTTATTTGTGATTCCATTTTTCTTTGCATCCTTAACATGTTACATATGTGATATCATGTCATGTATGCATTAGTGTTTACGCATTTATCACGTGTCTTTCCTTATACAACACACACATTTGTTGCATATAAGTTTCTCTCGGACGTAGAATATTGTTGACACAACATTCATTAGGCCTCAATTACACAAAATAAACACTTTGCATTTGCTTATGAACAAACTGTTTAAATTTTAAGGTTCATCCAACCCACCCATTGGAAGATGGGCTATTACATCCCACAATTGCCTATGAGTGGCCAATTTTTCCTTATTTCTTTCTTATTTTCTTTGTACTTCTAAATAAAAAGGAAAAGAAAAAAAAAAAAAAACTTCCAAACCCCTAGAATTTGGGCCTATTAACAAAAAAAAAAAAAAAAAAAAAAAAAAAAAAAAAAAACTTTCCAAGATCCGGGTTAAACCCGCCCAAGTAACAATGAACCCATATACCCAACCCAAGTAATGCCAATTGTCAAGCGTTACTCTTCTTTTGTCCATATTTTCTCTCCCTTCACGCTTCCCATGCAAATGCCACTGCCCACGGTTTTCTCTCACTCATGCATGCATCCATATGTTACATACAAAACAACATCCATTCATACATGCATGCATGCATCCCATGCATATACATAACGTCACTCTTTCGTGGCCATGCAAAAACATGTCCTATTTAATTTGCCATTTGTTCCAATATTATTAAGGCTTATTATTTAAGATTTAAGCAGTTCCTAGAAAGAACTCATAGTCATGAGTATTTTTTCAAAAAACGCTACACGTATAATCAGAAGTGCTTTTATTAGAAATTCGTCGAAAGTTCTTGTTACGTTATTGAACACTGTAAGAAATGCTTTAGTTGTTAAGCAACACTTTCGGTGCAGTGCTTGTAGAAACAACCCAAATAAACCCTTGTTACCTTAATTGTCCAAAAATACAAAACCCTTGTTACCTTGTACCGTTGATTAAGTAGATTCTGAGACGAACATGTTTTAAGATTAGAGATTTCTAATCAAATCACAACATTAATCAAATTACTATATCTGAATAACGTCATCTCTCTCTCTCTCATCAGTGGTTGCTTTTGGGTCTCTCCCCTCCCTCTCACAGCCTGCAGGCTCGTATCATTTCATATCAGCAGTCAGCTTTCCTCATTGAGTTATTCTTTTCCCTTTTTTTTTCTTTCGTTTTCGAAATTGTTCACATCACACACAGTTACAGAGAATAAGAGAAAAAAAACAGGAAAGATTGCATACCAACTCACTCACATCAAATTCAATGAGAAGAACTCCGAAATTAAGCGATTTTAGACGAGAATAATATTAGGATGAGTAATCTCTCGAGAAATCTCATCTCTTTTATTTAGTTGTTTGACCAAAAAATTAAAATAAAAGAAATAAATACAAAATAAATTCATGGAAAATAAAATTTAAAAGACAAGAGAGAGAAAAAAGGGACAGACAGAGCCCTTCACAGTTCCGAGCTGCCGTTCGATTTGGCGTTGTGTGTTTGTTTTGTTGTGGCTTTTGCTTGCTTTGCTTTCTCTATCACAACATTACAAACCCACAAACAAAGAAACACACATTCTCTCTCTTCCCCCCTATCTATCCCTTTCTGCTATTTCTGTGGGTTATTCTTTTTCCATTTTCTTAATTTCTTAAAAAACACAAAACATACATATACTCTCTCTGTATCTCTATCTCTCTCTTAAAAAGAAAACTCTCGAGATTGGAGCCCCAAACCGCAAACAGGGCCACACTTTAACCACTGTTGAGCAAGCTAGGAGCTTTTTCCAACTTGGGTTCATTCAGTTTTGGAGTTCTTGAGAGAGAAAAAACCAGAGTTCTAGAGAGAGAGAGAGAGAGTGAGAGAGATAGAGGGAGGAGAGATAGGCATCTGATGAAGGAGAGAGGAGGCTCTCTTGTCGGAGAGAGCCTGCCAAGCTGCACTAACACCACCGCAACCAAAGAAGAAGACGACGACGAACAACACCTAACCTTAACCCAACCATCTTTCTAAGCCACCAAACCAAACGTTTCTCACCATTTTTCTTCCCCCTCTTCCAAAACAGTGAGCTCAAAGCCCACATCTTTTCTGGGTTTCCTCTGTTGTCACTTGTTTCTGGAGATTTCCTCCGTTTCGATCTATTGGTTTTCTCTACTTTTCTTCACAAATCTTCTTTAGCTTTTGGGTTTGTTTTGGTGCGTCCGTACAATGGCGCTGGTAATGCACCGAGACTCGCCGGGAAGCAGCAGCGGCGGGAGGCAGCAGATGGATTCGAGCAAGTACGTTCGGTACACGCCGGAGCAGGTGGAGGCGTTGGAGAGAGTCTACTCAGAGTGCCCAAAGCCCAGCTCCCTGAGAAGGCAGCAGCTCATCAGAGAGTGCCCCATTCTCTCCAACATTGAGCCTAAACAGATCAAAGTCTGGTTCCAGAACCGCAGGTAGAAACAACAGAATTCAAACCATTTAAATTTTTTAAAAAGTTGGAAAAATAGTAATTTCGATTCTCTAGCTTGCTCTCTTTTCTGTCTTCTTCCATTTTTTTTCATAATTTCTGTAAAGTGATGGACTTTTATTAATTTACATTGTCCTTGTAAAGGTATATATAGATTTGAAGAGAAAATGTGTTTTGTTTTTATATTTCAGAAATGCATCTTTAACTGTTTTCTGTCCTTTGAAACAAGCAGAGTTCTTTTATCTTTAAAGAGAAAAAAAGTTTGCCTTTGTTTCCCTTCCATTTTCATTCGTGTGTGTGTGTGTGTATATATATATATATTTATTCCTCCTAATTTATTTGTATTTGTTATGGATATTAATTCAAAAAGTAAAACATGCATATGGGTGATTATGGCATACCAAGATCAGGCAAGGAAATTGAACCATATATATGGGTGGTATTAGGGTTATCTATAACAAATAATAAACAAAATTGGGCATGAGGGGAAGACAAGAAAATTGTTGTTTACCGGTTGTCTTCCTTGAAGAGAAACGAGATAAAGATTTGGCCATCCAGAACGAAGAGTTCTTCATATCCAAATCTACATGTCTGTTTAGAAGAAGAGTTTATCCAAGTCTGCTCATAGGCATGATCTGTGAGGGCTTTTGGTATTTATATTTTTCACTCTACAACCTCATTGAAACATATTTAAAAACTCGGGATTCTACCAGATTTTGACAGATTCTTTTAAAAATCAAGTTTGAATACCACCAGGTCGACATATTCATTAAAAATCTTAATTGAATACACCTGAATCTCTGAATTCTTTTAAAATCTATCATTATACACCTGAATCTCTAATTTCTTTTAAATACTTCTTCACCTCCCACTTCACATGGAATTTGGTATTTGGTATTTTCTCTCTCTTGTTTATGTTTATTTTTTGGATAAATGATGATCTTGTTGACATGGAGTTGTGTGCCTCCTTTAATTTGCGATGGAATGGAAGAAAACGACAACAATTGGTAAAAGGTGAAACTTTCACTTGGGTTTTCATATTTTATCTTTTGCAGAAAAGTGACTGTAAAATTTTAAACCTGCTTTTGCGTCCTTTGGACTTTTAACGAAGGATAATGACATCTCAATCCACTTTCTTTTATTATTTGTTAATTTTATTTTTGGGTTCTTGTAATTTGTTCTTTCTTTTCCCATGATTCTTTTGAGCCAAGTGACAACTTTTTGTTTAATTAATGCCATTTCTCGAGTTTGGAATTTTCAATGTGTCGGGAACACCGCCCGGAACACTGAAATATCTCTCCATAAACTGAAGTTAAATGTCTGTTCTTGCTAAATTATTTCCAATGAATTAATTTATGCATACCAAACGTATCCTTTTTCTTATTGTGCAAGTGAAGATATAAATCGGTATTTTCCAGCGTTCAGAAATGACTATTGAGTTGTTTCCGAATGAGATTTTATGTGCTATCAACTGGTAGATTATTCTCTAAAACTGGTGTTTTTGCGTGTTGTTCTTGCTTGTATAGATGCCGAGAGAAGCAGCGGAAGGAATCTTCTCGACTCCAGACAGTGAACAGAAAGCTGACTGCGATGAACAAGCTGTTAATGGAAGAAAATGACCGCTTACAGAAGCAAGTTTCTCATTTGGTTTATGAGAATGGATTTATGAAGCAGCAACTGCATACCGTAATTCCTTCCACCTTTAATACAATGCCTCTTCTGTTCTACGAAATGTTGCATGTTTTCAACGGTATAGTACTTATTCTAAATTTGTTTGATAATAACATGTAGGCATCAGGAACGACCACAGACAATAGCTGCGAGTCTGTGGTCATGAGTGGTCAGCACCAACAACAGCAAAACCCAACTCCCCAGCACCCCCAAAGGGATGCTAACAACCCAGCTGGGTAAGTTGTTAATGTCCGTGGAACAATTAATTGAAGCTAATTAGTTTATGATTAAGTAAACTAGCTTACGGTATATTATTCGTTTCAGTCTTCTTGCAATAGCAGAAGAGACCTTGGCAGAGTTCCTTTCTAAGGCTACTGGAACTGCTGTCGACTGGGTCCAGATGATTGGGATGAAGGTAGCTTCCTTTCTTTTAAAGCAATGAGCATGCAAGTGTTCATATTTTACAATCTCTATTACTTTATATCTGCTAGACCAATTTGAAATGTAACTTTCCCAGCAATATTTTGTAGCCTGGTCCGGATTCTATTGGCATCGTTGCTGTCTCCCGCAACTGCAGTGGAGTAGCAGCACGAGCTTGCGGTCTTGTGAGCCTAGAGCCCACAAAGGTATGAATTTTTGCATGGCCTTTGAGAAATTTGTGTTTGTGCATTTATTCTTCGCAGTCTAAAATGTATGTTTACTTACATTATAGGTCGCCGAAATACTCAAAGATCGTAAATCTTGGTTTCGCGATTGCCGATGCCTTGAGGTATTAAGTCTAATCCCTGCGGGGAATGGTGGAACAATTGAGCTCGTATACATGCAGGTATGCTGTTTTAATCAATTGGTGCTGTGTCATTGTGCATCCAGGCATCAAGTTTTTTTTTTTTGTTATAATTGTATGTTTTGTATTCTTAATCTGTAAATTTTTCTTTGCAACCAGACTTATGCACCCACAACATTGGCTGCGGCACGTGACTTTTGGACACTAAGATATACTACAAGTTTGGAAGACGGCAGTCTTGTGGTAATTTGATACTTGGTTCCTTTCTTGCCCTAGTTACCAGAATTCAAAACCTCCATAGTTCAACAATCATGTACTTATGTTTGTATCTTACTATCTCAAAATTACATTTACAGGTATGCGAGAGGTCATTGACTTCCTCTACTGGTGGCCCACCTGGGCCAACATCTGCAAGTTTTGTCAGAGCTGAAATGCTTCCTAGTGGTTATCTTATCCGACCTTGTGAGGGTGGAGGTTCCATTATCAACATTGTGGATCATGTTGATTTAGACGTGAGAATATATCATTACTATTTCTTCCTGAACTCTTTAGTTATTCGTTTGCCTTATTAAGTGCTTTTTATGTCTTAGGCTTGGAGCGTTCCTGAAGTTCTCAGGTCACTTTATGAATCCTCCAAAATCCTTGCTCAGAAGACGACCATTTCTGTAAGAACTTTTGTTCAAATTTCATTTCACGCTGTAGTTTATTCTTCCTTTTCATTCACGGTTTATCTTTGTAAATTTGTTTTGTAGGCCCTGCGACACATAAGACAGATAGCTCAAGAGTCTAGTGGAGAAATTCAGCATGGTGGAGGTCGCCAACCTGCTGTTCTGAGGACATTTTGTCAGAGGCTGTGTAGGTATGCCCTCCAAAAAATTTCAGTCCAAACAGTGTGGTTGCAATTTGAAGTGCATATGTAAACTTGCAGTTGGAGTTATATTTCTTCATTCACTGAGAATATTTGGAATTGGGTTTCAGTGGGTTTAACGATGCTGTTAATGGGTTTGCGGATGACGGTTGGACACTTATGGGTAGTGATGGTGTGGAAGATGTTACCATTGCTATTAACTCATCTCCGAAAGTGCTTGGTTCCCAGTATAACACTTCAATTTTCCCACCTTTTGGAGGAGGGGTGCTGTGTGCCAAGGCATCAATGCTGCTGCAGGTAATTCCCTAGTGACTAAACTCAATTGCGGCTCAGGTCTTCCTTCAGTTTTGTATATTTATCCTTGTCCTTCTTGAGTTATCTGGTTTCTATTGTTGACTGATAACTATGATTTGGTTAATCAGAGTGTTCCCCCTGCTTTGCTTGTTCGTTTCCTGAGGGAGCACCGGGCTGAGTGGGCTGACTATGGGGTTGATGCATACTCTGCTGCATGTCTTAAAGCTAGTCCATATGCAGTTCCTCTTGCAAGAGGTGGTGGCTTTCCGAGCACCCAGAATATTTTACCGCTTGCACAAACTGTGGAGCATGAGGAGGTATTGACCTGATCATCCTATGTAAACTCATTTCAGTTACTGCACTTTCCGTGTGTTAAACTCAATTCTATTACTGCGTATTCCCCGTGTTTAAAGTTAACTGTGTACTAATTGGTGTCATTTACTCTTACAGTTTTTAGAGGTAGTTCGGCTAGAGGGTCCTGCTTTCTCTCCTGAAGATGTTGCTTTGACACGGGATATGTACTTATTACAGGTTAGTGAACTGATTTTGCATATCGAACAGATTCATTTAGTGTTCGCTGCTGTTGTTAATTAACAGTGTTCCTATAATATATTGTTGCAGTTGTGCAGTGGAGTTGATGAGAATGCAGTTGGTGCCTGCGCTCAGCTTGTCTTTGCACCTATTGATGAATCATTTGCTGATGATGCTCCTCTGTTGCCCTCCGGTTTTCATGTCATACCTTTGGATCCCAAGGCAGTTAAGTGATGTCTCTAATCTTGCATCACCGTGTTTCTTGTATGCATCTGTTGTGATTAATCTGATTTCTTCTACTTATTCCTAATGATGGCAGGATGGACCTACTGCAACTCGCACTTTAGATTTGGCCTCTACGCTTGAAGTAGGAACCAGTGGTGCTCGTGCCATTAATGACGCTGATGGGAATAGTTACAACCGTAGGTCAGTGCTAACCATAGCCTTCCAATTTACCTTTGAGAACCACTTGCGAGACAATGTGGCTGCAATGGCTCGCCAGTATGTGCGTAGTGTTGTAAGCTCTGTTCAGAGGGTAGCTATGGCTATTGCCCCATCCCCGCTCAGCTCCCAAATAGGACCAAAACCCCTTCCTGGATGTCCCGAGGCTCATACTTTGGCACGATGGATTTTCAGAAGCTTCAGGTAGCTATGGCTATTGTCCCTTCCCAGCTCAAACTCTTTACTTGAGTGTTTATTTGCATATTACTGTGTTAGAAGTGTGTGGTACTGTTTAGTTGAATATCGCTGAACACATATGGCATTTCAGGATTCACACTGGGGGAGAGCTCTTTCGAGTCGATATCTCATCTAGTGATGCTATTTTGAAGCAACTTTGGCGCCATTCGGATGCCATCATGTGCTGCTCTGTTAAAACAAATGTAGTTGCTTATCTTTTAAGTTATTTTTAACTCTTAAATTGTAGGCTGAGTAAGTACATGCTTAGTTCCCTTTTCAACATGTTTCTTGGACATTCAACTGCAGACGTCGCCAGTGTTCACCTTTGCAAACCAGGCTGGCCTTGACATGCTCGAAACCACTCTTGTTGCCCTCCAAGACATCATGCTCGACAAGATTCTAGACGAAGCTGGACGAAAATTTCTCTGCTCGGAGTTCTCCAAAATCATGCAACAGGTAATAATTCCCCAAACCGTGCTCTCATTGCTTTCCTATTTTGAATTCTTTGTTCAAACAGCTTTCCAACACGCGCTTTTTCCGAATTTTTAGGGCTTTGCATATCTGCCAGCCGGAATATGTGCCTCCAGCATGGGGAGACCGGTGTCTTACGAGCAAGCTGTTGCATGGAAAGTTGTTAACGACGACGATTCCAATCACTGCCTTGCATTGATGTTCATGAACTGGTCCTTTATGTGATTGTGATGGATGATAGATCTCACAAACACTTTTAAGTTTCGATTAAGTTATGTAGTTCCTTTTTATATGAGTACTCTTAGAACTTTTGAAGTCAAAGTAGTCAATAGCAGGATATTTCATGGAGACTTTTCAGAGTGTTTATATTTTGGATCAATGGATATGACTATGCAGTCTGCTTTAACATATCACGATGATTTGTGAATGCTGAACTCTCTCCCAAAAGCATGCGACCCTTTGTATTTAGGTTTCACGCGGTGTCAGAACCGTTCTATTCCGTCAATAATACTCGGGAGTTTCTCAGGGTGGTTTGTCTGGTTTGGTAACTTGGCACTTGAGTTCTAGGATCGTTTTGACGTTCAGGTAACTTGGCATTCGTGTTGTGTGTTCGTTTTGAAATTTACACCTTTGTTTTAAGGGAAGTTTTACGAAAAGTTTTCGATACTGTTCACTTTAACAAAAAACCATATTACTATTTATTTTACCTTTTATTTTGTCCTTATTGTTAAAACTTAAAGTTTTCGAGTTTTTTTTATTAGTTTTCCTTTGTTTTAATCATTCGCACGATGAAATGGATTATCGTGATTAACACGACCAACATAAAGACTAAATTGGCCAAATTGAAATCACATGACCCTTTTAGTAGTTTAACCTTAGAAAAGTAGAGACTCGTTTCTGAACATGTACACTGACAAAAACGTCAAAAATACTTGAAGATGAAAAGTGTGAGAACGGAATCAGAAACCCCAGTCGCTTTTAAAATTGCAACAAAATACAGCAGTTCACTAAAAGTGGAGGGCAAGTTTGAAATATTGAATTTACCCAAGGGACCCTGTAAAAAGATTCCGCAGTAGTCGATAACAGTGTACTTTACAATTTGGTCCACTGACATGTTATTTTTTACCCCAGAGAGTCTCTGCATTTTGCAGTGGTCTGTAAATATAGGTGGACGAAATAATTGAATTAAGGCAATTGAATGCAAAAGACAAGAGAAAGAAAGAAGATGAAGATCCTGCCCTATTGCCTAAACTGCAACCCTAAAATCTCTGTGAAACCTTTAGAATAATGGCTGGTTTAGTATTGTTGTGATTTGAAAAAAACCTGATTTTTTAGTGTTGTGAGAATAAACTCATTTTTGCTGCTTCACGTTTTCAGTTTTTTTTCATCTAAAACTGTGAAAATAAGCTGTTTTTAAGTGTTGACCAAACATCTTTTTTAGCTCTCCTTTTTTTTTATACTTATTTTTATAGTGTTTCAACACCAAACCAGTACTAATAATGATATGGTATGGTATGAAGAGGCAAACCAAATCTCTCTCTCTCTCTCTGTGAAAGTTAAGCTCAAACCAGACAAACATCTCTCTGGTACGAAGACCACTTTTTGTATTGTTTTCTTTTTTCTTTTAGTTAAAAATGAGAACGTTTAGAGTCTTTGCTGTCACGGGTGAGATTATAATACTCCGTAGTATTGTACAATTTTTTTTTAGTTACATCGATATTTTTACATTAAGGAAAATGAAAGGTCGACTAAATCACATAATGGGCAGTTTAATTTGGTATCGAATTCGTTATTTACGAGATTTGAACTTAAAACCTCTTACTTCTAAGTAAAGAGGAATATCATCAAACCGTAGTACTGAGTGACAGATTTTTTTTTGTTTTGTTACATTTCTCTTTATAACATATCTTTAGCCGTTTAACCTACAAAGTCAAACCAAGCCGGTTTTTATATGGAGAAATTTTTATATTTAATAGGACAGCTTGACCAACTAACCGGCGAGATTTTTCAATGTAATCAGCACACGAGATGGTACATCACGTGTCATTATATAAATGATGAGATATGTGTGTTAAAAAGTAAATAACTTAAAAAGTAAAATTTCTCACCACTTACATAAAAACACGTGGTGTATCACTCATGTTTCCGTTACAATAAAAAATTTCTTCAACTAACGAGTGATATCGACCAGTTCAACAAAACCTTAATCCTGTGCATTTAGAGTTTTACCTAAGGGGGACGAAATGGTGCCTAAATACAAAGACACATATTTCTTTGTGAGATTGCTCGAGTATCGAGCTGGTCTCGCTACTCTATCCCAACGTGAAATCAGAATTTTGATGTGGATTTGAGCCAACCAAGTGAGATTAAAACGTTTCATGGCTGCAAGAAAACCAAGCAAGTACGCGTCACCTGACCGATTCTGTGTAATTAGCTGTGATGCTGTGGAGTATGTCATGCTGCCGTACCACGTGGCATGGTGGTGAAGTCATTGGTCCCGGTCTTCTCTGACTCCTTTTGCTGCATGCATGCGTCGTGCGATTGATGCCATGAGAGACAATCTCTAAATCAGTTTCGAAAATCATACGCTTGTTTAACACCAACCAGTGAACCAGTCGTACCGTAATGATTTGTGTACGTAGCTTGTTGTGTATTTTCACCCACATTGATATTGTGATGAGAGTGCACATAGCAAAGTTTCAAGTACCCAAAAGAGGCTGGGGAAAACATATGTGAAAGTCCTTCAAAGACCCATTGAATTTCTTGAACAAGACTCTTGTATCCATCAAATGCTCAATGAAATGTCAGCTCAGCATATCAGTAACAGTAGGAATGACGCACTCGACATCACTTGGCAAGGGATATTGGCAATATTTGACATCCCACCAAGCGTTCAATGAAGTATCTCATCAAAAATAAAATTGAAATGTTTTTTGCAAACTGAGCGTGTTTTCGAATTCCAAGTTGAATGTTCGAACCACAATCACTTGATAGAGAATGTATCTAAAATTTCCCATGGAGTTGAGCATAGGCATTAGAAATAAATTTTGGTTTTCTCCTTCTCACTTAAGTAACCTAAAATTATTAAAAAAAGTTACGGTTTCACTATAAAATTAATTAACAATATAAAAAAGTTAAATTACTTATAAGAACATGTAAAATCCTTTATTTTCTCAACGTAAGATTAATACCCTTAACAATTTTGTTTTACCTTCTTTTCTGATTGAAGTCCAAGAGAAACTTTTTGACAGAACCTCCATAATTGGAAACAATGAACTCGCTAGGATCGTTATATCTGTTGGGGGGTTTGAATCTTTGAGATGTGTGGGCCAAAAAGAATCTCACTAGTTCAATGACCACAGTACACAAGTTTACAAAGAGTCAAGGGAGAGGCATCGAGGGAGGGAGGGAAGAGGTCCGAAGATATGTCTTTCACCAAGGTCATTGGATCAAGTGATCTGGATCTTTCAAATTTCATTTAACAGTTAAAATTATTATAGTTATAAAAAAATCAAAACAGATAAACTGTTTGATGAAATTTGAAAGATCCCAATTACTTGATTTGGTAACCTTAGTGAAAGACTATCTTATTCGGATATCTTCCCTTCCTCCCTTGATCCCTCTCCTTGACTCTTTGTAAACTGGACTTGGATTCTCTGCCCTCCCAATTTGGTACCCTTCTCGTGCCCTCCTGTTTGTGTGGTCACGGTTAAGCCACGGCAATATTTTATATTACTATTTTTTTTTTGTCTTATTATTTTTATAAAAAATAATATAAAATGTTAGTATGAATTAACCGTGACCATACAAAACAGGAGGACACGGAGAGAACACCGAAATGGGAGTGCAGAGAATCCAAGTCCTTGTAAACTTGTGTACTGTGATCATTGAGTTAATGACCTCACGCTTGCCAACAATCACAACCAGAATACTTCTGAGATGAAGCCAGCCACATTTTCCCCTTAAAAGACGTGCCCAAAACCCTAAACCCCAAACCCCATGCCCTTCTGTCTCACCTTCCCCTTTTCTGCTCTGCCTTTGTCTGCTATATGGTATATGCTTGTGCTATGGTGCTGATGGACCACCTACTCTTACTGTGTGGCCTAATCATGAACCCTAAAAATAATCTGCTAATTATTATTAATACGTGCTTGGTTTGGTTTGGTGGACCACACTTTGATTTGATTTGACAAATGACATAAAAACGTAGATACGTGCTTGGTTTGGTTTGGTGGTAAATTATTTACCACACTTTGATTTGATTTGACAAATGACATAAAAACGTAAACTAGTCCTTCTGATTTTGTCTCATTTTATTGGGATTCATGTCGTGTCCATCAACGTCTTTTCGTTCCTTCTTTTTTTGTATTACAAGACTGCCCAACAGCCTCACAACAAAATCGACTTTAAATTGAATATGCACCCAAAAATAGCCAACATATATCCCACCAAAAATATTAACAATCAAATCTAATATAGATAAAATATTACATGCGTTATGTTATAAGAACTTGCATGAAAAGGATTTCACGTAAATTTTGTTACGCATTTCTTGTTAAGTAATTAGAAAGAAAAGTGCCAACGTGCTTCTAATTTTTAATAATGTAATGCTAATCACTTTGTTTATTTAAGACATATTAGTTCTTTCATGAGTTGATTACTGAAATTTTTTTTTTGAGTTTCTACTATAAAATTAAATAGTAATACAAAAAGTAGTGAATTTATTTATAAGTTAACGTGAGATCAGGGCCGGTCCTGAGATTTTGGAGGCCCTGTGCGAGACTCAAACGGAGGCCCTTACAAGATTTAAATTTTGGTTGCTATATTTTCTTTTATATATATATATATATATATATATATTTCTTGTGTATAAATTGATATAAACGCAAAAGAAAATAAATAAAAAAGAAGCATGGTTTGGTGGCTATGTATCTACATTCTTTATGTTTTTGGGTTTGAACTTACTTTTTAAATACAAAAAGCATGGTGTGGTGGATATGTACATATCATATCACCGTACATATATCATAATCAGAACAACTCATGCTCTTTATTATGAACTAGTTAAACAAATCACTGGTTATGATATTTGTAGCATCTTATAATGAGCTGTAAGTTTTTTTTTAATGCATTTTTTTCTCACTCCCTAAAGTGAGAATGATTCTAACCCTCACTTGGTTGATTGTTGTTGGATTAGTTAGAATTTGAGATTCGTGTCTTAAATCAATTAAACCAAATTAATTTAATGGTAATCAATAGGGGGATGAGCATCACCTACTCACCTCCACTTTAGTGTTGTGAGCAAAGTTTTATTATATATGGATGACTAAATGGTCTTCAAATAGGATGAAAATTAGATGATCCTTAAAAGCTGACCAAAAGAATAAACGAACGATATGCATTTGATTAAATGATGTCATATATGAAAAGGGGGTTTTAAAGATTATATCTTCAAACTTTTTAAGGATTTTAATTAATTATGATATTCCTAATCATAGATTTATCATCAAAAGTTCTCTTTTATAACGATAGAAATTAAACTACAAATATTAAAGAGAAAAGAAAAAAATTAATGTAGTTCAAAAAAAGCCCAAAATGGATCTACTGGGAGTCGAACCCGTGCTAACACAAACGCAAGTATCAGCGCTTGACGATTCCCCCAAGGAAACAATGTGAATTGTGTTCACATTTTTTTTATATGTAGTACATTACAAAGGTTATTAAAATTTAGGGGCCCCTAAAAATCGGGGGCCCTGTGCGATCGCACGACTGGCACCCCCTCATGGCCGGCCCTGCGTGAGATTCATTCTCAATAATTAATATCCGATTTTCTTAAAAAAGAATTTGATTTATAGGTTCTTATATTCTTTTTCTTTTTTGGAGTTTTAACGAAACATTCTCGATAATGTTCATTTTTTACGAAAATGATAGTTTTACTCTAAAAAGTCACTCTCGATACTATTCACTTACAATACATTTTTATCCTTTTGATTAAAACTCAAAATTTTCAAACCCTTTTTATTAGTTTTCCTTTTCTTTTTTACTTGTACAAGTTGATTACCACCTACGTTTCTTTTTATCATACGTTATTTTCATCCTTATTTTACTAATTCATCCAATGTACATATAATAACATGACATGCATGGTACTATAATTACATGGTTTTCAAAATGCACATACATACATCATCATGCATGTTCATGCATGAACATTACATGCGTGTTCATGAGTTATAAACAGTTACACGGTTTGAGGAGGGGCCTGTTCTGCTCTTCTACCCTGAGGCTGAGACGTCCTCTTTTACCTTTTCAGCGTTTGAAATTCGAGGCGTTTTAAAGGTGACAACGAAAGGCAGAGGCACTGTGAAAATTTCGAGGCTCGTGCTCTACATTTTTTCCGTATTTGTTAACAAATTAATCGATGAAGTAAATTAAATTAATGGTGGCTTATTTATGATACGAATCTCTCTATCTTTTGGTGCAGAGTAAGTTAAAGCAACTGTTCCCGCATGGAGACACCCACCCAACCTTTCCACTTTTGTCAACACTACTTTAATCTCATGCTTCCATTTTTTATGATTTTTTAATTAGTTTTTATTTTTTTAAATTTAAAAAGAAAATGATCCTTTTTCAGGTGGGTAGATTCGGAGCTTTCATCAGCACAAGCGTGCCCTTTGAATCCTTTCTATGGCACTGTTGGTTTCTCCAACAACAGAAAAAAGGCAGTGCAAAAGAAATGCAGAGAAATATTAAACTGCAAAGATCTCTAGCTTTTCGAAAACCCTAACCCTAGCTAGAGTTTGAGTTAGTTTATTGGGTTTTGCCTTGCTTGTCTGACTGTGGAAGAAATTTGTTGAGATCTTTAATCAAATCTAATGATCTGCAGGTTTCTTAAATATATTTACCAGCTAGCTAGGGTTTGGGATAGATAGGGTCTCATGGTCTGAGAGAGGCATTACTCAGAGAGTTTTAGTTAGTGGTTACTGGTTAACTGGGTGAGTAGTTTGACTGTTTGACTGGTGGGGGTTGGATTTTTCATGTTTTTTGTGAAATGGGATTTTTAGAGGATTAGGGTTTTTAGGGGAGTCTGACTGTGAGGGAGTTTTGGTGGAAGATGCAGTGCAGAGAAGGAGGGTTGTGATGGTTTGGTGGGTTTTAGGTTTTGGCAATATATGTGTGTTAATCTTGTTTGTTTGAAGAGGAATGGGATATTGTGGATATGGTTGGAGTTTTGCAGGGTGGATTTTGGGAAATATAAGTCGTGATTGTTTCTCTTGCACAAATCTTTACTAGGGTTTTGTGTTGGACCAAACAAACAAGTCTGAAAATTTTGGATTCATACTTCACATCTTTGAAAATCATGTCTATATGTTCACCTAGTATATTTTATTTATTTATGGTTTTTATTTTAGTCAAAAACTACTTACTTTGGTTCTTCACAACGAAAGTCGGTAGAAATTATTCATGAGTTTGTCTGCAGTGAATTATTTTGCTAATTTTATGAAAAATCTGGTAATATTTTCGTTCAATTGTCATGGAAACAATTACGTGACCACCTTTTTAAGAGTAATTATGTCAAACCAACTTCTCTACTGAATAAGGATATAGACTGAATTTTCACGGAAACACGCCGAAATGGTTTATGGTGGACAAACTCAGAGGGTCACTTTTATCGATTTTCATTATCAGGAACTAAAATAAAAAGTTATGTCAATCTCAATTATTATTTTGGCTAAAAAAAAACCTTTATATATTTGTGTATTTAGTTTGTGCATTATGGGAAATAATGAACATATTTATAGAATTCAATCCATAAAATATTTTTCAATTCTTCTTAGTTCCTTGATATCAATGAAATGAAAGAATTGGGTTCAAAAGCAGCTTTTAGCATGAATACAAAAGATTAATAATAAGAATTAATAATTAATGCCTTAAACAAAACAGGAATATAATGTGCTGTCTTGGTGTGGAAAAAGGACCACCATAGTTTGGTATTTTCATTAAGAGTAATGCTAAGGAGACTAAATTTTCAAACTAAATTTGTAAACCAAATTATGTATTACTAGTAAGAAATCGGTACGTTAATCGAAATAATCCAATAATTAATAAGGAAAACTAATGAAAAGGGCTTGAAAACTTTGAGTTTTAATAATAAGGACAAAATAAAGGGTAAAGTGAATAGTACCAGGATTGACTTTTTAGTATAAAAATGTGGTTTTTCGTTAAAGTGAACAGTACCGGGTGCTTTTCATTAAAGTTCCCATAATTAATAACCACATCATTTAGTTTACATAATTTGGTTTAAAACTTTGGTCTCTCTAACATTACCCTTTCATTAGACAAAAAAGAAAGTTCAGATTGTAAGTATCATCCATGTAGTCATAGAGATGTGGTTAACTCTTAAGGTGACCTAAATCATAAAAGAACATTAATCATGCTAATACCACGGAGTATGTTACCAATCCTAGTGAAGCTTACATACACTAGTAAAATAACTAAAAAATGACTTTTGGTCGGAATTGCATCGAAATCTCAATTCTAACTTTAGATCGGTAGGTAACACAAAAATTCTTAGAAGTTGGAGAGCAAAAGCACGCAAGGAAAAAGCATTTTTTGGTCAATAAACCACAAAGATTGAGCCTTCAAAGTTTCAACCTATACATGTAGGTTGTCATTTGGACTAGCCTATGTCATTCAATATTGGGCCGTTAAATTTAATATTGGGCCTCTGCAGATTGTCACTTGGACCAGCCCATGTAATTGAACTCCTGGAATTCCTTGGCTGTTGGATTATTTGACTTCTTTAATTTGGGTTATCGCCCGACCCAAATGGGCCAGCAGTTCTGATGTCTCCCAACCTTGTCCCTCTGCGATGAGTTGAGAGAGTGGCAGGTAGCAGGAAGAGGAGGAGATGGAGCAGACGGAGAAAGAAACGATCAGGGAAGCATCGGAGGAGGTGTCAAATGAATTCAAAACACTAATCGATGCTCAGGACTTGGACTCCCTCAAGCAATTGCAGCACCTCATGTAAGAACTCTCTCTCTCTCTGAGCAATTTTTATGTTAATTGTGGTTTACCATTGTTTATTTATGTTAAATTTTACAGGTTGTTGCTTGTATATTTTCATATGTTTAATTGGGTTTCTGTGAAATGCTGTCTGAAGAGTTAAAGAGAGAGAAAGGAAGAAACTTTATTCATATTGTGTGGTTTGGAGGACCTGTTTCTAAGAATTTGTTTTACCACCAAGGAAATTAAATCATGGTTTTTTTTATTTATTAATTTGGTGTTTAATGTGAAAGTTAAAACCCCACTTGGTCATCTACTGAATTGAATTGAGAAACTTGAGTGGGAGGAAAGGAGAAGTGGGAATCAAGCAATGAGGGTCTGTATTGCTTGGATGTAGAGGTAAGGTAGGTATTTGGATAGCGGCAATGACCCTTTCTGTTTCGCTGTGTTCCTTAACGCTTTCAGTGTGCACGCTCTTGATGCTAGGAGTGTATCTGAGCAGAGGTAGGAATTTGGCTTTGACAATTTTCTGCGTTTTTTTTTTTGACATTTTTTCGTGCGTATAGTCTTGATGCTAGGTGTGTGTATCGTTATATAATCTTTTGTTAGAGTTTGGTGACATAGATGATGTAATATGAATACCTGGACATTGAATTGTGCATCTAGTCTGCTCGTCATGAAGATCTTACATATCCGGACTGAATGAATGCAGTTGAACTAAAGGATATGAAACAGCTAACATGTACCTTTAACTTAACAAGCAACGTGATGCAAAGTAACAAGTGGGGCACAATATGCTACAAAACTTGGGACTGGATTTTGTATTTCGAAGAAATTTCGTTTGCATTTATATTATGCAGAAATGATAATGTTTCCTATATTTCCCTCCAATGCGGAAACAGCAATAACAATGTGTCGTTATGCTTATACTGAATGGATATCGAGTGGTTATACCTTTTGTATTCCATGATCTGTGATTCTGCTCTTATTTTTGTCGTTGCCTTTGGCTGCTCATTTCCCGGCATTTGTTTTGTGCTTTTCACATGCAGATTGGGGAGATTGCAAGATGCCAATGCAGTTCTGTCACATTTTAATGAGTTTTCAGAGAACTGCTTTGCTGAGGTTTCTGGAGATTTCTCCAGAAACACACGCCTTTTAAAATCTATGAAGACTGATCTTGAATACATATTTCAGAAGTTAAGGTATGATCATTGCTTTCTTTTGGTTCGGATTGTGGTTATTTAAAGTGCTAATGAATCTTATTTCGTTGCTATCTGAATACACTGTTGCTGATTTGGGGCGGTTACAATATTTTTATCTGAAGTTACATAGTACATGTTCTAGGGGATGTGATTGTGACTCATGCTTTCTGCGGTTCACTTGAAAATTTTAATATCATTTCTTTCATAAAGAAAGCAAAGTCTCACACGGACGATGGGGAAAATAACAAACCAGGATGAGCCTTGCGGGTTGACTGAATATTCATTTTGAAGCATTTAGAGTGGTGTTGACTATCAAGGATAAACTAAATAATTTTTACTTTTGTTCCCTGATTCATACAACATGGATAACGGGATAAGCTTTGAACATCTAAACATATGGCCACTTACCTGTCGTATTTGGCATTGAGGCGGTAATTGTCTGACTATAAACCGCATTAGATACCATAGTAGTCAATGTGGTTTTAACTAAACCACTTCATAATTTGAGAAAGCTTCTTCTTCTGTGCCTAGAAAATTTAGCTATCAGTGTCCAATTTTCAAGTTGGCTTGTTGGAACTTCCAGTCGATACAATTTTCCAGTTGATGTATAAGCTTCCCGATGCTTAGGAAGTTGCACATTTTATGCTAATTTTTTGATATCAAACGTGGTCGAGTTTGTGTTATATTTGATTACTTCTTTGAAATGAGGTGTATCAACATTGCGGTAATATGATAACAGGAGCATGAAGTCAAGAATTTTGGCTACCTATCCTGATGCATTTCCAGATGACTCGAAACAAGTACTCGACCAAAGACCAGACCTGGAAATGCCTCTGTAAAACTAGACAGCATGTTCATGCCCTCTTGAGAGAACATGTTCTCGGTCTGCTATGGAAGTGTTCCGAGAATTAAGCCTGTCAGCAAATGTGTTCGAGATCTCTGTAATCTGTTTTTCCTTGGATTTATAGCTTGCAGAGGCTTTCCTTAGAAGTGTTTGGTAAATTGGTAGTGTTTGGTGCACATAGCACAATCGTCTAATTCCGCCCTTGTAAGCTTTTCCATGTACTAATCTGAAATTCAGTTACCATTATGTAGCATTCTGCTAAACCGCAGCTCAAACTAAACGTTTTTTTTGGGTGTTATGCTGGTTCACAAAACGCCTTATCAACCTAGTACCATAGCAGTATCTTCTTTCATCTCACTCTACACACACAGACTACCAACCTCTTTATGTCCTCTTTATGTCTTCATATTTCTCAGTTGTATGTGGAAGCTGTGAAAGTTTGGCCTGGATTCAATCCGCCACCTCTGGTTTTCTGTTTGTATGTGCTTGATATTGATCGGAGGTGGGGAGGGAAAAGAGAGAAGGAATACCTCGGACGAGGAGTTCGTGATGCGCAGGAGTAGAGGTTTTCTGTTTGTATGTGCTTGATATTGATCGGAGGTGGGGAGGGAAAAGAGAGAACGAATACCTCGGACGAGGAGTTCGTGATGCGCAGGAGTAGAGGTTGGAGAAAGCGAGCGTGATCCGACATAAATTATACCGAGATTTTTTTTTTGTTTTTTTTTTTGTCGAACGATAGATTTGTTAGATTAGGTAACCAACGAGATTTGAATCCACAACGTAATGCAATGGAAACTCATCTCTCTACCATTGTGATAGCCACTTGCGAATTATACTGAGGTTTTGGGGAGTATCAATTAGCAAGGGTGAGAGGTATTAAATTGGTGGAGCCGGATTAGTTTATCCGGTACTTATTTATTACATTAGGCCATCTTCAACCGAAGGGTCCAGAGGGTCAGAGGGTCGAAAATAGCCCGAAAACCGTCTCCAACCGAGGGCTAGGCCAGAGGGCTCGTGGGCCTCACGGAATCTGAAACGGCCAAAGGGCTGGCTGGAATTTTTTTTAATGTTATCGGTTATAGCTGACAGAAATAAAAGAAATAGTGTCAGTTATAATTGACACAAGGTGAGAGGTATTAAATTGGTGGAGCCGGATTAGTTTATCCGGTACTTATTTATTACATTAGGCCATCTTCAACCGAAGGGTCCAGAGGGTCAGAGGGTCGAAAATAGTCCGAAAACCGTCTCCAACCGAGGGCTAGGCCAGAGGGCTCGTGGGCCTCACGGAATCTGAAACGGCCAAAGGGCTGGCTGGAATTTTTTTTAATGTTATCGGTTATAGCTGACAGAAATAAAAGAAATAGTGTCAGTTATAATTGACACAAATAGCATGGAAAATTTTGAATATAACAACGAGCTGACGTCAGCTAGCCATTATTTAAAAAAAAAATTAATTTTTTTTACTAAATTTTTTTTAAATTCTATATTTTTCCTATAACTTCCTAAGCCATTATACAACATTAAATTAAATTAACATGAAACAACATTAAACAATATGAAACAACAATAAATAACATTAAATTTAAGTTGTAGTTTTTAAATAATAAATTATGTTTGGCCCTATAGCCCTTTGGCCTTCGGTTAGAGACGGTTTTTTGTGACATGACTAAAACGAGCCCTATGGCCCTCGGTTGGAGATGGAAGCAAATATGACCATGTACTGTTCATTAAAATATTAATTTCTTAAAGGGCCAAAGGGCTAAAATGAGCCATCTGACCAGTCCTTGGTTAGAGATTGCCTTATAGTACCAAACACTTGTTTCGTATTAAAATAATCTTATCCGGTGTGTAATACGGCAAGTCAAATTAAAACATGCATCTCGTCTTTCAGAAACTCTCTTAGGAGCACGTGAGACTAACACCCCAAACCCCCGAATCCCCTTTTTATGCGTGAAATCGAAACATGCAATTGTCACCTCTTTCTCTCTCTCTCTCTCTCTCTCTCAAGCTGTCATGTCATGCAGAAAGAGAAACACAGGGAGTGCATGCAGATCCCAGGACCCATCACCACCGTCCAATCCAACCTATGTACTTCTCACTTACCCGGATCGTCCGATGCTCACCAACTGCATTCAACAGAACTCTGATTCAAATCAAAGCTCACGCCTTTAGCTTTCGTTGTTGACTGAGCTTCAGGATATAACAGAGAGCAGAAGAAGAAACGGAGAGAGAGAGAGAGAGAGAGAGAGGAAATGGCGGGAACGAGTGGGATTGGGAGTGGGAGGAGCGAGAGCGAGAAAGAGAAGACCAAGATGAGGGAGAGGCAGAGGAGGGCCATCACCACCAAAATCTTCCACGGTTTGCGCAAGCACGGCGGCTACCGCCTCTCTCCCCGCGGCGACATCAACGAGGTGCTCCGGCATCTCGCCACAGAGGCAGGCTGGCTCGTTGAACCCGACGGCACTACCTACCGCCCACCCAACGTAATGCACCTCCCTCTTTTTTCCGTTTTTCCTTTCCTTTGCTTTCCTACATTTTCTCACCAGCCAAACACATTTTGTTTATTTTATTTTGTTTCCTTTCCTCTCTTAATTTGTGGACGGAAGGCTCCCAATTGCTGCCCGACTTGTGGAACCCCCAAAGCGACCACTCCAGTGGCAACAGCGACACCAACCCCAAGCAGTAGTGTGGTGATTGGAGGTGGTGATTGTTCAACCACAACATCTCCAAGTCGATTCCCCGCCTTCAACACCACCACCAACACCAGCAGTATGAGCATCTACTCGCCATTGTACAGGTATGAAGGCGGGCACCCGCAACCGCAACTGCAGGAAGCCAGGGCCTCTAACAATACCACTCCGGTTGCTTCGCCTCCGCATCACCGCCCTTAGAACATACTTAATCTTCCTTAATTCATATGGATTATAGCTTTGTTCATCCCATACTTTGGGTTCGGATGTGAAATAGTTGGCAGCTATGCAGAGTATATGCTGTGCTGTGATGAAAACCCATTTTCTGCAATCTAATTTTCTTCTATCATATGAATTTACACTATCCCTTACTTGTTCCTTTGTTTGATTTGGTTGGTATGTGAAAAAAACAAAACTAAAGTTTAAGGTTGAAACCCTAAAAAGGTCAAGAAAAAAAAAAGCGGTAAACAGCCTGGGAAAAAGAAAACTTGCGACGCAAGAAATTGGTCAAGCATTCCTGAAGCAAGAACAACCTTTCATGTGATTGTACAGATACAGTTGCATAAGCTTGATCCAATCACAAAAGTAAAGCACTACCACTGCTTGAACCTCACATCGTTAATGGGCAATGTCAAAAACAAAGTTTACCTAATCTTTCTCAGTAACTCTTACATGTGCGGGGAAATTAGCTTGCATTTGAAACTCTGTAATTCAAGTAAAACCTGGGATTTCTCCTGGCATTGGAGCTAACTCGTTGTTACCGAACCTCTCCTCATCATAGAACGAGGCACGCACCACTCTGCCTCCAAAGTACCGGCCGTCAAGGTCAACCAATGCTTTAGTCGTTTCCTCAGACCTCTCAAACTGAATGAAGATTCTCACCGCCTCATCCACCGGGAAATTTGGTTCTGTTATCTCAAATATAAGCACCCGCGTCACTGTCCCATATTTTGCACACTCTGATGCTACTTCATCTTCCAATTCATCATCCACCTCTCCAGGGCCCACCTTCAACAACAAAGTACATCAGCTTAAATTAGAATTAACTATCCATAAGAACAAGAAGTCAAATAATAAATCGGTTGTGAAATAAGTTCAAAAACAGACTTTTTCGACATGTTAAATAGGCACTGACTCACTGTGTAGTGATTTTCACATAATAAAACCTAGGTAAAGTCCTAATTCATTAGCTTCCCAAAGAACCCTGCAGCTTTATAGAAAGAACGAGATTGGGGTTTAATATTGAACGCAACTTAATCGGTTGCTCACCAATTTGACTATATATGGTTCATAAATTTAAATCAGTTTTTGTACTTGCACCCAAACTCAACTTCACCTTACACACTTAAAGAGAACTTGAGCCCAAGTTCATTCATTTCCCAGTAAGCTGTTTCTCCGTATAATGTTGTTGCAATTTCACGTAATGACATAAAACATGTTCAGTGCTGATAGGGATTTCATGGCTAGATCCAACGTCCATTGCTTAAGACACACACATTTATGTGGTTCGTAAATCAGATTTTTTTTTTTTTGGTTTTGGGAGAGAAGGGGGGGGAGGGGGGGGTGTTTGGTAACTGGATGCTAGATTATAAGGGATAGTTGAGTGCTTATGTTATGTTGGAAGGTCAGGGAGTTTTATTCAAGGCGTGAAAAGTTACATTTATTTATTTTTTTTCGTGGGTAAAATTATAGCTAACAATTTCATTCAAAAGTGGCCGTAGTCAGTAACAAAGTGAGTGCAAACAGAAGCACCCTTTTCTTGACAGTTCCTAACAAACATAACATAATTCTTTTGCTTCAGTCCAATGATCAGCCCTATCAAGATAGGTCAGTGGACTTAATCCTCGAAAACAAATGTGCTTTAAAATGAAGCAGAAGTTAAAGTCATGGAACTATAGTATTGTTCTGCTCAACAATCTAAAGATGTAAAGACTAGACTGATTTCAGCAGTGGAGGTTGAAGTTAAGGTCCAGCTGAGGAAAGGAATGGCATTAAAGACAGAATAGTTCAAGTAACAGTTGAGGAAAAACTATACCATATATGGTGAATTCATTAATGATATATACACGAAAATTGTAAGAGACCAGAAAGTTGAGCACCACAATGAGTTAGAAACTCTAAGACAATCTTCAAGCATGCCAGGTCATATGAGAAGACCTAAAAGAACTCATGACTATCTCTAAAGAGAAAAGATTAACCGGGTTACGGCATTACTTTTAAGTACCTTGCTATGACTGTAGAGACAGTTAAAGTTAAACCATCAACCCCTTGAACAATGATACAAAAAATACAGTGGCATGATATACAGGAAAAGAGAATTAACCTTCTGAAGAGTTATAAACTTAACACCAGTAGTATATGAAGTTAACAACACATTGTATATGAAAGGGAAGAAGCTATTAGATACAAGAACATTTCCATACAGACCCTTTGAACAGAATCCCGCTTCATTAGCCTGAAAGTATTTTCAGAAAAGTCCCTTTGAACCTCTATTTCTTCCATATCCATTTTTGTGGCATACTAATATAAGCACGAAACTATGTCTTGGAAAATATGGATAGCTAATTACCAGATTGAGAAACTATTTAATCAGTTTTGGGATGTATCTACTGCTCAAACATAGCCAGTTTTATCCATTTGATAAGTTTCAAGGGATTGAGGTCGCCCGCAAATTTCAAATGATTGTAAATCACATTTGTAGTATCATCGTCCAGAGGAACCAAAAATAATTTTACAATAGTATCCATACACCAAACCATATTGCATTTGCATGCATAAAGCATCATAAGCATGAGAAGGTCAAGTGTACACATACCATGTTTCTAAGCAGCAAAACCCTCGTGGGTGGCCCGTTAAGGCTGACACTCTTCGCCTTCTTCTCCGGCTTTGTTTCACTAGCATTCACAATCACCCCGGCTCGCCTATCCGTTTTCTTGGCCATCAAGGGAGTAGTAATCCCCTGCTCCTGCTTACCAAGCCCTTGACCCTGCTTCCACCCCATCTTCGCCATCATTCTTTGTGCTGCGGTCATTTGGCCGCCAGCCCCGAGCCCCAACCCACCACTATCAGACTTCCCAATGATAAAACCATCTGCATTACTGGGCGGGGACGGGGACCTCGGAACTACCGGCGTTGCTGCCCCGCTCATCGCCGCACGCCTCCTCCAGGCTTCCTCACCTGAAATGTTCCTTGATTCTCCCAAATCCCTCTCCTTCTCTCTTTCTCTCTCCTCCCTCTCTTTCCTCTCCCTTTCCTCCTCCTCCTGCCGCCTCCTATCTAGTTCCCGCCTCATCTCGGCCTCCATTGCCTTCTTCTTCCGCTCCCTCCTGTACTCCTCATAGTCATTCGGCCTCGCCGGATCATACTCCTCCAGCACCGTCGACGTCACCCCAACCAGCTCAGGTCGCTCCACCTCATCGTATATCACCGCCGGCGACAGTGCAACCGCCGGTGACGCTGTAATTTTCGGTTGCACCGCATTCGACGATTTAGGCTTGCTCTGTGGCTTCAGAATCGTCTGCGGCGGGGCAAAAATCGACGACGGCTTCCGGAGCGTCTGCGGCGCCATTTTGGTGCTGCTCGACCACACCGTGCTGTTGCTGGGCTTCTCTTCCTCCGCGGAAGAGGGCGGAGGAAGGTCTCCATACAAACCACCTAGCATTTTGACGACTACCCACTTTCTATCTCTGCAGTTACAGATCTCTGAAAACCCTAGAGGGAATTGAAGCTTACGGATTGATGTGAATTTAGGCGGGTTCTGATGGGGATTCGGTGGACAATAAGAAAAGGTTCTCGGGGAAATCGGTGAAATTAGGGTTTTGGGGTTTGGATTTGTAGCGAGATTTATAGATTGATTTGGACTCTAAAGATAAGGAAGGAAACGAAGCGTACCAACAATGGCGGCTGCTGCCTGTTCAGCTAGATAACTCTGCCGTGCTTATCCGGCTGCAGCAACCGTGGGAAGGTATTGGTTACAAAACTCTTGGCGAAATTGCAGTAAGCAGTCCCTGTAGTTCTCTCGAACTATCATTTCTCTCCTTATAGTGTTTTTGTTTTTTTTTTTTTTCCTATTATAGTTTCGTGAATGCAATTATTTTTCTTTTAGTACGTTTTAGCCCAATAGAGACGGTCCAATAACAAAAAGAGGAAGAGGATCCGGTCCGGATCTCTTTCATCAAAGACCCAAGATCAAATGATACGGGTCGTTGAAATTTGATTCAACAGTTACAAACAGAAAATTATAATAATTGTAATTGTTAGATCAAATTTTAATGGCTCAAATCACTTGATTCTTGGCCTTTGATGAGAAAGACCCGGCCCGGATCCTTTTCCTCAAAAAGATCCCGGACTAAAATTTACATGCCAAGGTCCATTACAGATGATCCAATATCTAGATTTATATCATATCTAATTTGTTGGCAAGAGCCGAAGGCTAAAGGCAAAATCTACTCCTCAAAACGATGATATAGAGCTCGTTTGGATGTGTTTTAAAAATGACTGAAAGTGCTTTTAGAGAAAATGTTTATGGGTTCCAAAAGTACTTTAAGTACTTTCTACATGAAGCAACAGTTATGTGCTTCTTCCAATATAAGCATTTTATGTGCTTTTCTAGAACTTACTAAACAATTTTACTAAGGATTGTTTTTTAAAATATTTTCACCAAAAGCGTTTTCGGTCATTTTAGAAGCACATCCAAACGAGCTAATAGCCTATTAAATTTTTTTTGTTGTTAGAATTTTAATTGTTAAGTAGATCCCACGCTGCCTAAGGCTTGGGCTGGGACTAGCTTGGCCTCGTAAAGTGCTTAGATCAATTTGATCACACAAATTTTGTTGGATTACAAATTGTTTGTTCTATTTTGAGGCAATATTATCAATTTGTCTAGGCCATAAGGCTCGCATTAGATATGCTCATCAATATTAAATTTTCATAATGAAGTTCCCCTCCTCGAGTTTCATGTTCAAGTTCTCCTTGGAAATGATGTTCCGTAGATGTCTCGTCTTACCTTTCCTTCTACCTTACACACCTTTGGTGCCTTGCCTTTATTTCACAACCTTTTGCTTTCGCACCCATACGTCATTCAACAGAGTAAAATCTTTTTAAGAAATTTAACGTTGGAGAGTGTATAAGAAAAAATTATTTCGCCTTAGGCCATCTCCAACCGAAGGGTTCAGATGGTCAAAAATAGCCCGAAAACCGTCTCCAACTGAGAGTCAGCCCAGTGAGCTCGTGGGCCCCACGGAATCTGAAAGGGCCAAAGGGCTAGTCACATGCAGCCAGCCCCGGGCTGGCTAGGATTTTTGTTATTTCTATCGGATTTCCTATTGATTATAACCGACGGGAATAAAAGAAATAGTATCGGTTATAACCGACACAAATAGAAGGGAAAATTCTGAATCCAACGGCTAGTTACAGTTGGATTCAAATTTTTATTTTTTTTATTTTTGGGCCAATTTTTTTCTAATGAATTAAAAAAATTCCCTTTTTTTTCTTCCTATAAATGCCTAAGCCATTCCTACACTATTTCTCACATAATTTTCATTCTTTTTAATTTTACGTTGTTGTAGTTTTTAAATTTAAATAATAAATTATGTTTGGCTCTCGGTTGAATACGGTTTTTTGTGACATGGCTAAAACGAGCTTTATGGCCCTTTGGCCCTCGATTGGAGATGGAGGCAAATATGAATATATATTATTTATTAAAATATTAATATCTTGAAGGACAAACGAGTCATCTAATCAATCTTCAGTTAGAGATGGCCTTATACCAACGCACAACACTTTCGTCATGGAGATGTACAATTTCATGCTAAAAGTTAAACTATAAATAACATTTGGTAAAGAAACAAAAAGTTGAAATAATACAAGTGATGCATTCAATGCTGGAGAACTCAATCATAAAATGTCTGACACTTTTGAGTAATATCTCGATTTTCTATTAGTTTAATAATATTTTTTCTTCTACTGTTGACAAAAAACACAACTTTGATTCCCTGTCACTATTGATTATTTGTTTATTTATTTATTAATAGTATTATTATTGTTGATGTACAAAATTGAGTTAATTTTGAGTCAACATAGAGTATGGTGAATTGACACTCGTGAGGAAGTTTTGGCTAAGGCCATCTCCAATCGAAGAGTTCAGTGGGTCAGAGGCCCGAAAATAGCCCTAAAATCATTTCTAACTGCAGGCTAGGCCAGGGGGCTAGGGAATCTGGGAGGGCCCCACGAAATTTCAAAGGGCCAAAGGACCTAATGGCTAACTGCTTTATGCCAACTAGCCAGCCCCGGGCTGGTTATTTTTTTTAATGTTTTGTTATTCCTGTCGGTTATAACCGACAGGATTTATTAAGAAAAAATTCAAATGAAACGGCTACTAGCCGTTGCATTTGATTTGATTTTTTTTTTTACATTATTATTATTCTTTTTATTTACAAAAATTTTCATATAACTTCTATTTTTTCCTATAACTTCTATTTCACAAAATTTATTTCATTTTTTTTTTAAATTCCATTTTTTTCCTATAACTTCTATTTCATAAAATTTGTTTCATATATTTTTTTTTAAATTCCATTTTTTTCCTATAACTTCTATTTCACAAAATTTGTTTCATATTTTTTTTAAATTCTATTTTTTTTTCCTATAACTTCCTAAGCCATTATACAACATTAAATTAAATTAAGTAACATGAAACAACATTAAACAATATGAAACAACATTAAATAACATTAACCAACATAAAAATTATACAACATGAAACTTAAACAACATTTTTAAAAACATTTAAGTTGTAGTTTTTAAATAATAAATTATGTTTGGCCCTCGGTTGGAGACGGTTTTTTATGACATGGCTAAAACGAACCCTCTGGCCCTCTGGCCCTCAGTTGGAGACTGATGCAAATATGGCACAGTACTGTTCATTAAAAATTAATATATTGGAGAATCTTGGAGGGCCAGAGGGCTAAAACGAGTCTTCTGGCCAGCCATCAGTTGGAGATGGCCTAAGGGTACACGGACGAAGCAACCTACAAGGAAGGTAGAGTAAGTACTGAAAGGCACAAGCGGCCAAAGAGTCTCCAATGCTTAAGTTAGCAAAGTATTGTTTAAGGTGTTACACAGGCAAGTTTACTAGTAATATAAGTGTTGAACAATAATTAACGATTACCTGTAGAATGGAGTAAATGTTACCGTTTTATAGAGACAAAGTTGGAGGCAGTATTTTGACTTAGCGAGCATGGGATTGAATGTAGGTAATTTGGTGTTGTGACTTGTTACATTATGTTTACTCTTGAAGTTGGAGGGAAATATTATATAGATTGTGGGGATAGCCAATGAATGATTGCCAAGTGTCGTGGCCTCCACTTACTATGGGGTTAGTTTGTGTGCATCAGCATGGGTGCCTCAACGAATATCCTTTAGCAAGTTCATAATGCTCAACAGTTAATCGATATCTGATAGTTTCGAAGTAGATGTAATATGATAAAAGAAACTATTACATTCTAAGTTCAACTCTTATGATATTACTCAAATAATAGATAAAAACAAAGAGGTATTAAAAATGAAAACCAGCAAAACAAGAGATAGAAGGCACTAAACACGCACAAATTTGTCAATAATGCTCCCAAAAGCAAGTGGACAACAAAACTCCAAACTTCCAACTTTAAAGGAGAGCAACAAAACCTACCCAAATAAAATATAAAATACAATGACATAATTTTCCATGCTCAAATTTTAGAATAATCAATGAGGCCATCACAAAGTTCGACTAGCTATCCAATTATATAATATTTTTTCTTTGCTATTATTTTATCAAAATATTGTGTGTGTTAAATGTTTTTTTTAATATTATGAGATAGCCATCCAATTTTTTTTTGACAACCAATAACAATACTGGGTTGAATTATTAGAATGCGTTTAACTCATATGCTTTTAAAAGATTCACTTGCATTTTATTAAAGATTAGTTGTAAAAATATTTTCACTAAAAACGAATGTAGCTATTTTAAAAACACCTTTACTAAAAACGATTTTAGCTATCTTAAAATGACTGAAAGTTTTTTGGTAAAATAGAAGTGAATCATAGAAAAACATTTAAATAATTCTTATAAGAAGTGTTTTTTGCAAGAAGCACAATATGTGTTTTTAGAATTTCAAATTATTTTTACTAAAAGCACTTTCGGTTATTTTACTTCCAAACGAGCTTTTAGTTATTAGGAGAGAAAATCGATAAAAATCGAACTCATATCAAAATGTATAAAGATAAGGTAAACCGCCAAAGGACAAATGGTGATCTAATCGATTGAAAAGAAAAAAAGGCATAGGTTATAAAACACGAAAAAGGAAAATAACATTTGAGAGCCGTATAATAATTCAACCCTCCATCCCGTAATTCCATTTCATCTCCAACAACACACACTCTCTCTCCCTCTCACCTCCGCCCACGATTGCAGGCTTCGTCGGGTTCTTCCATCTCTGCGCGGCCCTCGATTTAGATCCAAATCGATTCGGCGGATTCCAATTTCTAGGGTTTTTGCATCGTATGCCCGGATCACTTTCGGCGTTCTGGGCGGTTCGGCGATTGGTGAATCCTCGGTTTGGGGATTTTGTTAGGGCGCGCTAGGGTTCGTTTCCCGGAGTTTCGCAGATCCAACTCCAGTTTTCCGCGCGGAGGCCATTTTCGCTCCTTAATTCAACCATGTTTTGGCGTATGGCGGGGTTGTCCACGGCGTCTGCGGTGAGTTCTCCGCCGTCGTTTTTGTTCTATGTTTTCTTGTTTTGGCATTAGGTGTGCGGGGCAAAGTGTTGGTTTATTTGTAATATATTCGGATTGAATCTCGGTGAAGTTTTGGGTATTTTTTGTGTTGCTCTGTTTGCTTGGTGAGAAAATGTGGGATCAGAAATTGAATTTTGGAATATTTGGATCTTAAGAAGTGTTGTTATGTTGTGTGGAAACTGATGGGGGATTGGCAATTGAGACTCTGTTTGAAATTGGGTATGTTGTCTTTGGTTTCGGATCTGGAATTGGGAACAATGGTGTA